ACCTCCTCGAGCACAAGCGGGCCGTGATCTAGACCACGCAAACAACGGCCAAGCAAACACCGTCCCGGGGTGGGTCCAGGCCTGCAGGCTCTGACGTCGGGCGAGGGGCGCGGTAAAAAATGGCTTCAGTCAGGCCTCATGAACCCCGGGCACTCCGGGCCGGGCCGTCAGAATCTGCCCCGCTGCCCCGCCGATGCGACGGACATCATTCAACACGACGGTGACGCTGACGACGTCGTCCAGAGACGCTCGCTACACCCGTGGCGCCTCCAGTCTCCAGCCGCCGCCGCCGCTCCAGCGCACACGAGGCGGTCACACAAAACCAGGATCGCGTGCTGGCAGTGCTAGACGACGGCGACCGCGGAGGAGCGGCGGGTTTAACGTGGCGGCAGAAGCGGGCCCTGTCATGCCTCGCGGAGCTCCTCCACGCGCACGGCAAAAAAATAAAAGGGTTTGAAAAAAAAATGGCGGTGCGGAGCGACCAGAGCGCGCACAGTAGCAGGCCGGTGATGGACGGAGGCACTTGAAGCGCCGACAGGGCGATACCGCGATTGATACACTGTACAGTGTCCTGCCTGGCCGGCCGGCCGTCTTCCTTGCCAATCCTGTCCGAGAGCCTCGGCGGCCATGAAGGGCACGGCGCGTCGTCGTCAGGAAAAGTCCACGCCGTCACAAAAGACGCCCGAGCTGTCACAGGGGCGGATCCAGAAAGGGGTTCAGGGGGGCTGTCATCGAAAAACAAATTGAAGCGAACAGCAACCCCCCGCGGGGCCCTCGTGCTCCGGGCCGCGGGCCGCGGGGCGTGGCCGCGGGGCCGCGACGTCGTGATGGACGACGGGGGCCTCAACCGCCTCGACAAATGGCGGCGGCGGCACGGCACAGCACAGCACGGCAGCACACCGCCAAATCCCAGGCCGGCCAATTAGAGCGACGCCAAAGGCAGCAAAGGCACTCAAACGAGGCCTTTTCGGCGCGCTGCGAGCGGAGCGAGGTGGAGCGCGACCTGCACAGCCACGCGCCCATTAAGGGCGGTGCGCCGAAGAAAAACCAATCACAATTAACTAATAATGACAATTAAAACTAATTTCCGAAATGTCCCAAATTTGTAAAAAAGTTATGGCCAAAATTTTAAACGTCGATTTTTTTCCCTTCCCACTGACATTTAAATTTTTCGAAGAGTAGATCTGCGCCAGGACCTTGTGCTACATCACCCGGCGCAGCGGCGCTGCCGCGCGGCCACGCCCAGCCACTCCATTGAGCTTGTGCGAGGCGTGTCGCTGGCGTGTCGCTGGCGCTGGCGGCTGGTAACGAGAGACAAAGCCTTCCGCCCCAAAGGCCCAAAGGCCCAAAGGGTCAGTAAGGTGAGAGGCTGTCACGGCGGCCCCGCTTCTGTTCCGCGTCTCCGCCTCGCTTGGCTTGTTGCTGCAGGCTCATTCCAAGAGCGGGAGGTGCCGGCGGCCTGTCTCTCTCGCACCCACGCGGGACGCCCCATGAGTGCGAGAGAGAGAGAGAGAGAGAGAGAGGGGGGGGGAAAGAACCGAGACCCCCGCTCGGAATCCGTCTGCCGCTTCGCCGCTTCGCACTGGTCCGCCACCTGGGCCAGGCTGGGGCCAGGACCTCGGCGAGGACGTGTCCACGGCTCCTAATCTAATGACTTCAATTAGTCGACGCAGTGTCGAGGCGGCGTGCGACCGGCTGCTCCCATTTCCAGCGCATCGATCGGCGTGGTCGCCGTCGGGGTGGACTTCCCCGGGCCGCCTCCGAGCGGCGCCCTGTCTCTCTCGCACACCCGGGGGAGCGAGAGCGACGAAAGCGCTGCTCGGAGTCAGCCTGCTGGGCGATACACGGGCGCGCCTCACTGCTGAGTCAAACCGCAGACCGAAATCCGAAATCCGCGCCGGCCGAGGCCGAAAGTAGGGCACGACCCGTCCGCGCACCTACACTGGAAGTGGAAGCAAGTCCAACTTTATTATTCTTTTTTCGCAGTGAGGGCGTGGTTTGCTCCAGTCCGGTACACCGGCATGCCGTGCGGCCAATGCATTCGCCCGCGCGACCGCACGCCCGGAGAACGCCCGGAGGTTCTCGCCGGAGTCACCGGAACGCCCGGAGCCCCCTAGGGAGGCGTGCTGGCCCGCCGGCCCGCTGGAGCGCAGGAAAGGATGGCCCGGGCCGCGCGCCGCGCATGCGCCCTCCCAGTGTAGTGGCGTGTTGCCCCGAAGCACCCGAAGGGCCTAACTCCACATCGACAACATCGATCCGACAACAAGCAGCAGAGCGACGCGCCGGGCTGCAAAACGGCAGCCGGGGCATTCCGCCACCATTAGCGCAGCGCGGGCGGCACGCCACTCGAAAATCCTCCGCGACGACAACGACGTCGTTAGGCCGGCCCGGCGCGCAGCGCGGCGCAGCGGGTCGCCACACTTTTGCAGTGCCGTGCCGTCCGTGCCTTTGCTGTGCAGCCTTTGTCGCCGAGCGCCGCCGAAGACAGACGGACAGAGACAGGCCGATGCTGCGGCGTTGCGGCACCGGGAGGTCCGCGGGGTCCGCGGGGTCCGCGGGGAAGGCCGGCCCTAGCGGGGGAGGCGGGGGCCTCCGATCCGTCATGGTACCTGGAGCCGTCCGCGTCAGAGTCGAGCGCGGCGGCAGCGGGGCCAGGCTCCAGGCGCTCCAGGCAACACAGAAATACTGTGGTGCCGCCCACACGCCCCGAGTGCGCCCCTGCGGTAGTTCGATGATTCCAAACAGCACCCTGCGAAACGAGTGCGAGAGAGACAAGCGGCGAAAGAACAGTTCGGAAATGGAGCCGCTGAGGCACCTCTCTGAGCCCCGCTGGGGGCTTGGCTTGGCGGCTTGGCGGCGACACGGCCCCGCCGTGGGCTCGTCCGGGTCCGGGCCCGCCGCACAACTTCGGTGACTCCGGGACCACGGCGGGACTCTATCGGGACCGCGGCGCGGCGCCCGGATGCGGCGAGGCGGCGAGGTGGCGACCCGCAGTGACATTATTACGACTCCGGCAGGGCTCCAACGCTCGGCGCCACTCGCTCCGGGCCGCGTCGAGTTTGGCTGCAAAAGCCAGGAGGCAGGCGAAGGGTCTTTGTCCTCGGCGGAAGCAAAAAGGAGGGGGAGGCGTTGGCCCATGGTTGGCCCATGGTTGGCCCACGGCCGGGACTAGGCTGCCCCGGGGACCGGGACCCCACCGATTGCCACGCGATACCCATTGGTACCGCTCGCGGCACCGCGGCCGTGACCAGGCACTCCCCTCCAGGCCCCTCCAGTCCCTGCTGCTGCCTGGCTGGCTGGCTGGCTGGGCCTTCATCGGAACTACCGCAGCAAACCCCTGTCAACTATCTTAGCTCTTACAAATTCTAAGCATTAAATTTTTCAAAAATCAGAATTTAGATTGAAATTGGAGGGCATTAATGGTTTCTGTGAAAGTCCAATAAGTGACATGCTGATGTAGGAATGAATGAGCCCAAATGCATGGCGGAGCGAGTGGAGCTGCGCTGAGATTATATAGTGTCGTCTTTGCCATTTGATACTGAGAATTAACAACAATGCTAGCACAAGCAAAGGAAGGAACAGGCTTTGATGGGCACTAAACAAGAAAATAAAGCAAAATATGGATAGCTAATACTGTGCTGAGAATGTATTCAATACAGTCAGTTGACTGACGAAACATGTACTCGAATACAACTTGTACCCCTTTGCTTGTTTGAGTAAAACGTTGATCCCGCCTACAGCACATTTGGCTGTTGAGAAAAAAAATCGTGGGAATATAGGTCAGATAGCGGTGAACCGCATCGCTGGAAGTGAGGTTAGGACAGCCGTCGGAGGAACAACAGCAGCAGGATCCGCTTTCTGCCGCTCTCAGCGAAACCGTTTTTCTGCCGATCTAGGCAACACCTCGCAGGGAAGTGTTGGCTCAGCATTCCCAGTTTAAAGAACTTGTCCTCGGCTGCTCAGGTCCGTGCACAGGTGTCCACAAACGTCAGACAAGCAGCGTCTGCAGCTGCAGGTACCTCGGTGTAAACAAAACCCGTCTCGGCGTCTTACCTCGAGTTGAGAAGGGTAATCCGCACCGACGGGCAATCCAAACTCGCCAACCACAAAACAGACACGATTCTACACTTTTCGAGGGCGAGTTAACACAAAAGATGAATAAAGGCCGACGGAAAACGGACGTCAGCTGGCGAAGTAAACGTAAACACAACTGCAGCGGTGTGTCTCGGTGCGTCTACTGCTCCCACCGCACCGCTCCCGCCCCCTCCTACCGCCCCCCTCATGCCACAGTGGCAGAAATTTCTCTTCTCGAAATGCTACCCTCCCATTGGTGGAACGAGTACTTCGTTCATTCTATCTTCCCGTGTCCACCAATGGCAGGCCTTGATACAACGTCAGCAGAAAACCTACAGTACAGTTAGCCTCAGAATCGAAAAAGACGTTGTCGATTTATGCTAATTAACTAGACTAATGTCCAAATAACTTGACTCATTAAAAGGAAACTTGCAAGAGAATTATTTTGTAAAATTTTAGACATTTGAGGTGTAAATAAACTTCTTTACATAGACATGAGAAATCTAGTCGTCAGAAAAAATTAATGACCATTCATTTACGGTAATCTGTGTACAAATAAAACGCTGAACTCTCCAGGTATGTGCTTATTAGGTTTCCAATAGTAGCCTGTCCCATTCTTATCCATTCAAAAAAATAATTCGGGCAGCTCCGTTCAAATAACTAAAACGGGAAGAAAATAAAACATCCGCAAATTTCTCATGTTATTCTGCGAATAGTGTGCTTGTCACAGTCGTCACAGTGCTGCGAATAGGTGAAGCGACGTTTGGGTGAACTGGTTCAGAGGTTCAGTAGGGCAGAAATGAATAACCTTAAATTTTCTGCTCAGTGACGATGTAAAAACCCTTTTCAAACAGAGAGGGGTTTCTTAGTTCCCTCTTCTATTTGTGTTCGTGCTCTTCATTCGCAAATCTTCAAGATTTATCAACATGGCTCTTCGTAAAGTTAAGGGAAACTTGGAACGTATGTTTGACAAGAATTTGACGGATCTTGTCCGGGGAATTCGGAACAACAAAGACAATGAGGTAAATATTTGTGGTTGTTGTTGTGCGATATTTGCCTTCCTAAAATCACCCATTTTATCATGAAATTATCAGTTGATGGGACCTGCTCCTAAGTTTTCTAACTTGGTTATCAGGTTTTCAATGTTCCTTTGGCTGTTTTGTCTTGATACTTCCCCTGTTATGTGCTATTAATGGCTGTATCTGCCTCTCTTTGACCCTTTCTTCATGTTTATCTCTTTATTACATTTACTTGTCACTTTATCACCAATCACCACATACAGAATTGGATGTGTGAAACTTTCATTCAATCTCCGTCCATCATTATAATGTTAACACATTTTTACTTACCCTTCTTTCCTCAGGCCAAGTACATAGCTCAATGCATCGAAGAAATCAAACAAGAATTGCGACAAGACAACATCTCTGTGAAGGCTAATGCTGTCGCAAAACTTAACTATGTAAGCCATCTGCATGTTTTTTATGTCCATTTTATGTTAATTATGTATCATGCTTTATTCTCTCTAATTTAAAGTATTGGTTATTAATATTTTTTCCTTATTACAGCTTCAAATGATGGGTTATGACATCAGCTGGGCGGGCTTCAATATCATCGAAGTAATGAGTTCTTCAAAGTTCACATACAAGCGAATTGGTTATCTAGCATCTTCCCAATGTTTCCATACTGACACTGAGGTAAATCAAAAGATTTGACACTCTAAACACTATTTTATCAACAGAGAATAACTGTGAACTTAACTTGTCTCTTATGTAACAAGTCACTCTGTGCCGACACCTTAATACCACTAATACATTTTTTTTTTCCTTAACAGTTGTTAATGCTTACCACTAACATGATTCGAAAAGACCTAAACAGCCAAGGGCAGTATGATGCTGGACTTGCCCTATCTGCATTATCGTGTTTCATTAGCCCTGATCTTGCTCGAGACTTGGCCAATGACATCATGACTCTTGTAAGTAATGCTTTCAGATGTGTTAATTGTTTTAAATGGTGATTACAAATCATATTTTACTTGGGTTATTTTCATGACTGTGACAGCTAACATCTACCAAGCCCTACCTGAGGAAAAAAGCAGTCCTTATGATGTACAAAGTATTTCTACGTTTCCCAGAGGCTCTTCGGCCCGCTTTTCCAAGGTTAAAGGAAAAGTTGGAAGATCCAGATTCAGGTTTGTGACAGAATATGGATTATAGTGTGCATTTCATATTTTGGTTTATTTTTATATTCAAACCTTGGTTTACTTGGATTTAAACTCGCCTCTTTTGGCTTTCAGGTGTCCAATCTGCAGCCGTAAATGTAGTGTGTGAATTAGCTCGCAAAAATCCGAAGAACTACTTGAGTCTTGCCCCCATGTTCTTTAAGCTAATGACTACATCAACTAATAATTGGATGCTAATCAAAATCATCAAGCTGGTAAGTCTATGATAGGTAGGATTAGGGCTTCTCACCTTGAGTCTTCTACCTTCCAATGCATCAAAGGCTCTAAATACAACATTTTCTCTTAAAGTTGTTTATGTAAGTAGGAGGTACAGTACGTATCTGGTAAATTATTTAACATTCAAGAGGATTATTCATATTAAATATTATATATAATTTAACCTACTCTTCATCTAAAACAGTCAATTTAAATTTGAAACACTTGTTTTTAATCTTAATGTAACATTACAGTTTGGATCTCTGACACTGATTGAGCCACGCATTGGTCAAAAACTAACTCTGCCATTAATTGAAATTATATCAAGGTAAATTAAATAAGCAAGACAATAAACACCAGTGTAGTTGCTTTTTGTAAATTCTGCTGAGAGTAATTGCCTGCTTCAAGCACCCTCACATGGAAGATGTCATGGACATTTTGTACCAGTTGTGTATTTTGTTCTTTAGCATCGGGTTGGGTTCATAGAGATTGCAGAGATAATTAACAGAGATATAGTATTAGGATGTAACAGAGTGTTCTTTAACCTAGTTGAGAAGGTATGCTTTTAAAGATTTTATACCCCTTCTGAGCAGCTCATGTTCAACAAGTTGAAAAGTGTGGATACTTAAAATTTTCCAATTTTGAGTGTCACCTGTGTTTCAGTTTGGTGCTCTGACTCCCTTGGAGCCTCGCCTTGGTAAGAAACTCATAGAGCCTCTTACCAACCTTATCCACAGGTAAATACTTTGACTCTTTGGAAATTAGATAGTATTAAGTATTTCATCTAACGTAATTGGAAGATACTTAGGAAGTTTACAACTGTATGCTGAATGGTGTATAGTATAGATAGAATCAGAAACCAGAAAAATGTGCTCGTGTAGGTGACCTATACTTTAAATCATCCTAGTATTTCATAGTGTTCAAGTTGAGTTTAGTTAATAATTTCCTATCCATTGGGAATGTTTGGGTTAGCATTGAATGCTGTTTTGTTGTGGCACCTATCTACTTTTTTCTGTGACAAACAGTAGAGTGCATTTTGTTCTTTCATTATCACTTACTTCAACACGTTTTTTCTTGTGAATTCAATGTATGTAAGTGATTGACCTGTACAGCACAAAATTGGTTTCAATTTGAACACAGAGATTGTTGATAATTTCTTCAATGATCTTGCACATTTATTTACCATTAATGTATTTTGACTATAAAAAAAGTTCGGCTTCACACATTTTATTATGTGGCCAGCAAAATTCACCATTGGCTGCTTGTTTCTCTTTGCCCACCATGTGCACACCTGTTTGATTTCTTGTCCACATATGTTGTGTGTATATGTGTGTGTGTATCTGGTTTCCTATAAGGTAACAGCTTGGGAAATATGTTGCTAAAATTTCTATGTAAATTCATTTTGCACTCATTTTCTTCTGATACATTTCTGTTTTTTGCCTACATATTACTTACTTTTGAACCTGTTACAGCACATCTGCCATGTCATTGCTTTATGAATGCATCAATACTGTGATTGCGGGTGAGTGAAATAACTGTTCAAGGGTTTTGGTGTGTGGTTTAGTGTAATTTGTGTGCCCAAATTAAAGGCCTTTCTATTTACAGTCCTGATCTCCATTTCGTCTGGGATGCCAAATCATAGTGCTTCTATACAGGTTTGTTGTGATGCACAATGTACTTTATTTGCACAAGTCATCTGGAAATTATAGTGAAATATTCTTCTTTGTTATGCAGTTGTGTGTTCAAAAACTCCGCATCCTGATTGAAGATTCTGATCAAAATTGTGAGTTTCTAAATAAATAGGTATTTTTTCTGTTGTTTGTGTGTTTGGGCTTAAATAAATTTATCTTTGATTTCTGTTGCAGTGAAATATCTGGGCCTTTTGGCAATGTCAAAGATACTGAAAACCCACCCTAAATCAGTTCAAGCTCACAAAGATCTTATCATGCAATGTCTGGATGATAAAGACGAATCTATAAGGCTAAGAGCTCTCGACCTTCTTTATGGAATGGTTTGTATCTATGTCACATTTATGTGTCAGTTATGGAAGGTCCAAACAACAACTTCAAGTTTTTGTTCCCATTTAGGTGTCGAAGAAGAATTTGATGGAAATTGTTAAGAAGTTAATGGTCCACATGGATAAAGCAGAAGGCACAACATATCGAGATGAGCTGTTGTCAAAGATAATCCAAATATGCTCTCAGAACAATTATCAGTTCATAACAAACTTTGAATGGTATGTATTACAGTAGCTACTACTGTTTTTTGTGACTGATGTCGGTGTAAGTGCCAATGTAAGAGAAGCTTTCTTAATGTACTCGTTTGGTTTATAGGTATGTCAGTGTCTTAGTGGAACTGACAGATATGGAGGGAACTCAGCATGGTCCATTAGTGGCTACACAAATGCTTGATGTGGCCATCAGAGTCCAACAAATACGTAGTTTTGCTGTCTCTCAAATGGCTTTGCTGTTAGAAAACGCTCACCTCTTCTTTAGGCCTAGCTCAAAAATGGCCGATGTGCTTTATGCTGCTGCATACATTTGTGGAGAATTTGCATCGTAAGTGTGCTCTTTCTTTTTACTCTATTAATAGTGCTTGTGTTATCTTATGTTATTCATTTTTTTAAATTTGAGCAGAGAACTCTCGGACCCTCAAGCCACATTAGATGCCATGCTTCGTGGTAAATTGGTACAGCTTCCAGGACATATTCAAGCTATTTATGTTCAAAATATTTTAAAGGTTTTTGCTCACATTCTGAGCCAGGAAGAGGAGAAAGGAGACAATGATGGAATATTACATGTATGAATTTTTGCCTTTGTAATCTTTAACATAGTTGTTATTTGCTTTATAAATCTTATGAGTTACGTGTAATTTTGTACTTTCAGTTGTGTGACTCAGTGAGTTCCAAACTTCAACAATTTGTATCCAGTGCTGATCTAGAAGTCCAAGAACGGGCTAGTTCTGCTGTTCAGCTTGTGCGCTATGTTCACAAGCAAATCAGTAAAAATGAAACAGGCATAGCAGAAGAAGTTGCTGCTCTTTTCACTGGAGAACTCAATCCTGTTGCCCCTAAAGCACAGAAGAAAGTCCAAGTTCCTGAAGGGTATGCTTTGCAAGATGTCTGCACTCTTCTACTTTGCGCAAGTACTGTAATAAATCATCTATAACTTTTTTGTTTGCAGCCTGGATTTAGATGCGTGGATAAATGACCCTCCTCCATCGAGCAGTTCAGATGAAGAAGATTACAGCAGAGAAGATAATTCAATTTTCATCAATGTTGTTGGCAATAAATTTGCTCCATCAGCCATTCCTGAACCAACAGAGGAGGAGCTAGAAATTGTAAGGCAAATGTAGTATGATTTCAATTAAATATTGTTGTTCTACTTGTTGCTGTAATGCTGTGTGGAAGTTCATGGTACATTTCTTATGTTACAGAGGAGAGCAGCTCGAAAGGTTGAACAAGCAAGCAACCCTCACTATCTCAAATCTTCCCATTCCTCTAGTCGTCGATCTGAGAAAATGAATGGACAAGATGATATCAATAACATTCCAGTTGCAGAAATTGATCTACCTGTTCCCTTAAAGATTCCAGGTACTGTGCAGCTTTACATGACTTCCTCCCTCCCACCTTCTTTTTAAAAAAATAAGTAGCAATTTTGTTTTTATTGGAAAATATTATAATATAATCTATTTTTTCTTGTCTCTCTTTCCTCAGGACTTGCTTCATCTAATCACTATTCGTCGCCATCGAAAGCCTATGAAACAGATCTGGATAAGCATTCAAAGAAAGATAAGAAAAAGAAGAAGAAGCGAAGGAAGGGAAAAGTGTCGTCAGATGATGACGATGATGATATTCAAGCTTTACATGTTGTCAATACTGACATTGGGGAAATGCCAGAAGGTGCAGAGTTGTCTGATCCTGATGACAATGATAATAGGCCACAGGATGATCCTCATAGAGCTTTGGATATTGACCTTGATGAGTAAGTGATTTATTCTGACAGCTGACTCTGTAGCTATATGGGGAGATGTCATGTATATTTTTGATTGCAAACAGGCCTCTCCGTGATGAGGAGAAGTTACCCGTGCCATCACATCGTTATGTGGACGATGGTATTCCTGATGACATGGAACTTGAAGATGCTGTTGTGGCCAAGCCAACTGATGAGAAACGAATCAAGTCTTCTGACAAGCACAAGAAACGTAGTAAAGAGAAAAAGACAAAACACAAGAAAGATTCCAAGAAAAAATCAGTTATAGATGAAGGACGTCAAAGAGGAGTTGGCAGTGAAGATATAAAGGTAGGATATTATTGAACTTTTTTCTAGTTCTGTACCTGGGGCAGTTACAGGATTTTTTATATTATGTTTTGTTTATTCTTCTCAGACTGATCTGACCAATGATGTTGACTTATGGCTTAACCTTGATACTCCTGCTATATCCAATGATATCAAAAGTGAGCCCAAAGCATCTGCTGAACTTCAGGGTGATGAGAAGAAGAGCAAGAAAAGCAAGAAAAAGAGCAAGGAATCAGAACGGCCATGTGAGTATACCATGCACTCCTTCTCCTTTCATTACTCTAAAATGTATTCATGTTTTGAATATAATGCATTTTCTTTCACCTTATTGAAGCTAAACATAAAGATTCGTCCAAGTCAAAAGAAGGATATGAAGAAGCTGCTGGTATTTCAACACCTTCAAAGGAAATCCTCAGTTTCTCAGAAAGGAATCATAATGCACCGCCCTCAGCTGCTGCTCCACCTCTGTCTGCTTATACCAAACTTGCTTCGGATAAAACTTTACAACTGGTATGTTACCGTACCAGGTGAACTAGAAAAGTTGAAGAATTTGTTCTAATTAGGCATGGCATTTCTTCAAAATTTTCTTCTTCACCTTATTATGATTTTCAGATGCATGAAGTGAGACCAGTTGGTTTGGAGAACAATCAGATTGTGGTGTCAGTAATGTTCAAAAATATTAGTTTACATCTGGTCAAAGAGATGGATTTCAGTGTTTCTGATTCTTCTTCTGTCAAGCTAATGAAAAGTGTAAGTGTTTTGGATATTATACAAGTCCATTATTTCACTTAAGGTACTTTGTAAATCATCACTTGATTTTGGTATTGTTTCAGGATGGTGACCATTATGGTGTAAAGCTTCCATTCCAGTTGAAAGCAAGCGCCTCTGGTGAGGCTCTCTTTGCTTTTGAAGTGTCAGATGTTACATTTGCTCAAAAGTTGAGGTGTACGCTAACGTACATGACTGAGGTAAGACCTTTTATACCATATCAAGGAAGAAACTAATAATGGAAGACACATGGCTAATTTTGGTGAATTTTTTTTTCTTTAATAATCTAGGGTGCTGAAAACATATCCACTCAAGAAAAACTAGACTTTTGGTTACATTTGCCTTGCTCAAGCTTCATGATAGGGCGCTTGTCTCATCGTGAGACTGTTACTGATTTGCTGGCCGGTGGCACCCTAACTGCTAGGAGCAATTTGACACTGGAGAATTTGAGCTCAGACTTTTCTCAGGTATGGTCCCTTTTCCTTCACAAATTTATTATTATTCTTTGTCTTGAATGAGTCAGGTTCATTGCATCTTTTGATTTTCAGATTTTGCAGCGAGTATGCTTTTATGCCCATATGACATTGGTGGAGCAAGTGGACCTTACAGCTTCACTGTATAGTCATTCAATTCAACAGCACAATGTGTGCCTGCTTCTTAAGTTTAATGTAAGTTTGACAATAATTTCAGCATTAAAAAGTATTGTGTGTGTGGCTTCTATACTAACTTTCCACATTTTTACAGCCGTCATCAAAGACCCTAGCTGTGGATGGTAAAAGTGACTGTAGCCCATTGCTCTCTGCTATCCTTGAAGAAATTCGGATCCTCTTGCAGCCCTCAACATAATGTGATAGTGCTTCCTGCTCCATGACAGAGGAAGGGTGGATTTTCCACCAGGTATCTTGTTTATGTTGCTTGCAACATGAATATTAGTTTGAATACTATGCTAAAGTGTGTTTTTCAGTTGACTGAGTCTAGACTTGGATTTCCAAAATGGAGTTAGTAGGTAACTGGTGGTATATGCCAGTCAGTGTAAGTTCTTTATCAAGTCAGGGTCCTGTTCAATATTTTTTATGAAAGCATGGACTTGTATATCATGTTTTCTATTCACGACTGATTGTAAAAACAGTGTAGTTTTATTCTATGTTTTATGTATGTGAGATTATTATTGTTACAATCATTTTACATTTTGTGCTGGAGCTCTTGCAGTCTGTATCTCCTCAAAATCATGTGTACTTGCCTTGAGTGGTGGATTCATTCACCTAACAGTATTTTTGGACATAGACATTGATTTTGAACAGTAGTATAACAGCCTCTAGGTTACTCTATCAGATCTATTTTACTACACAAATTCTCAGAAAACTAGTTGGTTCTGAATAAAGGATTACTATTATTACTCTATTTCATCTCATACACTGATATTCCTTTCTTTGTTTAAAAAGAAACTTCCTACAAACTATATTTTTATTGAGCCAGTTTGTCCGTTGTTCCAGTCAATTACTATCCCAGTCACTAGATTAAAACCAGAATCATCCTAGTGATAAGTTTGTAATTTGCCTCCTGTGTCAGCATGCCGTCAGTTTCTACGTCAAGTTTGCTGTTAAACCTTCAATCCTGTTCCAATGTTATCCGTCCACCAAAGATCTAATTTTTATTCAGACTGTTAAATCGAGTGCGACTGTGTCTTGTAACTTAATGATCACAACTGATTTTTCTGAATTTATAAAGATAAAAGATACTTAAAATCTTTTTCAGATTGTGTGGTGATCAAACATATTTAGTTCTGTAGCCTGAAAAATACTTTAATTCCATTCTGAATGTTCTTTACTTGTAGTATGTACTTGAAGATTTTTTCTATTTTTAATTAGCTTACAAGGACTAATGCTTGATGTTGAGAATGCTAGTGTTGTGTGGTGTGGTATATTCACAAGTCTGACTTGGTAAATATGTTATGTGTCCATGATTTGCTTTTTTGCCTGGAGTATTATAATACATAATTTAAACTGTCCTAATGACGCAAGGCAACATTTATTCTAATTAAACCATGTTATTACATGCGGGCCTGAAAAAAAAAACAAGAAAAACTGATTAGGATGATACATGCTAATGTACTGGGGTGATATGTGATACCACTTTGTGGTGCAATCTCAAATATCGAATTGTTTGATAGTGGAAAAGCTTGTGGTTAATGGAACATTCCATTTTATAAGGTATGTTGTTTTCTGAGCATATTATAGCCAAAGCTGTTTTCTGTTAAATCTAGGAAGTCTCCTGCTGGCAAGGGAACACAATTACACTGTACTGTAAAATCATGTTGCCTTGGAAAAATGTTCCGAGCGTTTTCATTTACTTTGCTCCATCCCTCACTGAAGTGTTTCTATAGTTTGCAAGAAGAATATGAATCGTGATGAAGAAGCATTTATTTGAAAATTTTCCTCTCTTAATTTGTGTAAACAAATAAATCAACTGACTAGGTAGAAAATGCTGGCAAGCAACGATTCATTGTGTAAGGTTTATTTGTCATTTTAAATGGGGCAAAGAATGTGGTGCCAAGCATTTATTCTAGTGTACTGTTTACAAGATGTGTTTCAATTTCTGCTTCTTTCATGTTAATTTCAAACTGCAGAAGTACTGAAAAGCATCTTGTGAGAGTTCATTTGTAACTGTTTTGTCTTTTAGCTTTATTTTGGAAGCCCATTGGTCTGTAGTCACACCGTTCCAACATGTATAAGTGTAATTTTTGGTGGGCTTACTTGTTAATTGATATGTTCAAATTTAGTTATTTTACTATGTTTTTCATATAATATTGTTGACATGATGTATGCATATATGGAGGAATTTGTTATACAAGTAAAAGATCTTTGATATAATAATAAAGTTAAAAAATTTATTGAGATCTAGTATAATACATTATTTACACCCTTAAAACATACTTGTACTATAAATTATTCCTAGCATCACCACACGTCCACATTTGGCACTAAATTTCTAATTTCACTTTCTGACTATCGATTGGCCGCCCAGCGGCGGACGAGCTGGCCGTCCGTGGCCCAGGCGCGCTTGATCATGTCGGCCGCCTTCTCGGCGATCATGTACACGGCGCCGGTCGGGTGGCCGGAGATGATGGTGGGCATGATGGAGGCGTCCACGACGCGCAGCCCCCTCACGCCGTGCACCCTCAGCTGCGGGTCCACCACGGCGCCCGGGTCGCTGGCGGGGCCCATGCGGCACGTCCCCGACTGGAAAGGGTTTCAAAGCGTTATTTGCGAGTGGAACTCGGAGAAAGCGGACAAGTTGAAACTAGTGACGTTGACCGAGCTGACCTGGTGGTGCAGGTTGGTGGAGATGGTCCGCGCGGCGCAGGCCCAGTACTCGTCCGAGCGGAAGGCGTGCTGCTCGCAGCCCGGCGCGGGCCGCGAGTGGAGGCGCGCGCCCCACCGCGCGTAGCCCTTCGTCTCGCCCAGGGCCACGCCCTGCAAGTGGAGGAACAACACGCGTCTGCATCACTCAGCCAGGATCAGAAACAGCGGGAAGAGGCGGCCACGTACCATCTTGAGGCCCTCCACCATAACGCGCAGGTCCTCCTCGTCGGCGTAGTAGTTGGCGAACAGCAGCGGCCAGTGGAACGGGTTGGCGGAGCGCAGACGCACGCGCCCGCGGCTCTTGGGCCGCAAGAGGACGGGGTTGACCGTGAACGCGTCGCGGCCCTCCACCTCGCCGAACATCTGCAAAGCCGAGCAAGGGCGCCGTCAGCACTCTGTCCACCGCCACCTCCCCCCCATGCCCGTGCCCACCTTCTTGAAGAAGGCCGCGTCGATGCCCAGCAGCCCCCGCAGGCTGCCCGACGAGTCGCCCGAGAGCGCGCCCGGCCCGAAGGACAGCTCCATGTCGGGCCGGTCCGGCTCCCGGTTGCGCGGCGTGTTGACGAAGGCGATGCCCTCCGCGCCGCCGGGCGACGTGAGCGGGCCGTCCTGCGTCACCCAGTAGTTGACCACGCTGCCGAGGCGCCGCGACTCGCGGGACTCGACCACGGACACGGTGTCGTTGAGCAGGAACGTGACGCAGCCGAAGCACGACACGTGGTCCTGCAGGTTCTCCCCGACGCCCTGCAACAGTGTTGCTAAGTACACTCGCCGCTGCGCTACGCTGCGCCCCTGCAGTGCGAGAGAGACGGAAGCAGCCCACTCACCGGCAGGTCGCGCACCACGGGGATGCCGAGGGCGCGCAGGTGGTCGGCGGGGCCGAGGCCGGACAGCATGAGGATCTGGGGCGAGTTGAGCGTGCCCGCCGACAGCACCACCTCCTGGCGCGCCTTGGCCACCCGCCACTGGTGGTTGCGCACGAACTCGACGCCCACGGTGTTGGCAGTGGCGCGGTCCACCAGCACGCGCGTCACGCGGGCCCTCTTCACGACGTGCAGGTTGGGGCGGTGCTGCACGGGTCGGAGGAACGCCTTGGCGGCGCTGCAGCGGCTGCCGTTGCGCAGCGTGGCCAGCGTGAAGGAGAAGCCGGTCATGTGCGGGCCATTGTGGTCCAGCACCGGGTAGCCCATCTCGGACGCGGCCTGCGGGGACAGAAAAAGGAAATGAGACTGCGGGGATTCGAACCGCAGACCTTCCGCGCTGCTGGCGGGCCGAGGCTGACCTCGAGGAATGCGGGCGCCATGGGCGACTGCCACGGCGACTCCGTGACGGTGAGCGGACCGCCATGGCCGTGGTACGGCGAGTCCCGCAGCGAGTCCACCTGCACGTCCTCGGACCGCTTGAAGTACGGCAGCACGTCGCGGTAGCCCCAGCCGGGGTTCCCCAGGGACTCCCACTCGTCAAAGTCGTGGGGGCTGCCGCGGCCGTACACCATGAAGTTGAGCACGCTGGTGCCGCCCAGCACCTGCGACAGAGCGGGGCAGAGTAACAGTCATCAACCACACGGCACTCGCGAGTCCCTCGGGATAGCGGCAGTGTGCATTGCTTTGGCGGAGCACACGTTGAGGCGAGGCGACCCTGGACAAGAATCCAGAAGCCCAGGAGGGAACGGAACGCCCACGACGGAAGAGACCCTGCGGCGGCGGCCGCTCCGCTGGGGCTATTTGTTATTTTCCCCTCGCGCGCACACTCGCATTCACACATACGCAGTCACCCCTATCCGGCTCCGGCTCCGCTCCACTCCCCTCCCACACTCATACAAACAAACACAGAGTCACGATATGTCATGTTAAAAAAACTGAAATAGAAACAATGGCTTTGTCCGCCGAAAAACACAAGGGGGAACACGCGATGCCTGTCGCGGCCTACTGCAAAATAATCTAATAGAGACGGAGTGGCGCCAGTCCGGCTGTGTGGCCGGGCGGACTTCCGCGCGCTGCAGCGAGCAGGCAACGCAGGCCGCGCCGAGCGGTGTTCTAGTGCAGCGCTAATTGATGGATGACTATTCGTGACAGCCCGAAGCAGAAAATTCACTCCGCCACGGGGTTGTGTGTGACCCTTTGGCGGTGCCAGATGGAGTGGCAGCAAGTTTTCCCCCTGGGACCGCATTGGCGAGCAGAGTGTAGTCAAACTTCAACACTTCCGGTGAAAATTTATAAATCGAACGGACAGCATTTAGTTTGCGAGTGTACACAAGAATAGCGAAATGTGACCCGCACGTGTGGGAAAGAAATGAACTCGTGTCCGCTCCAAAAACAACAAAACGTCCCATATCAAGTGTGGGAGCAGTGTGGCCTTCATTATGGATCGACCCGCAGCTGTCACCACTGTCCCCCTCGCGTCACCCCTTTTTTTGGCGCTCCTCTTTTTTGCGATGTCGCTGCAGCACAACTATGCAGCCCCATAAAACGTCAGGAAATGATCGCACTGGCGGCGGCACCGTCCGTGTGCCTCGCAACGCGTTGATTGGGGCGTGGAAGAAGGCGGCAGTCGAACTTCAGGCAGCCGCAGCTCGCCGCGCCGTCTTCGCAGCGAATGGACCGGGCGGCGAGCTCACGATGGCGGCGGATGACGTGAGCGTCGCATACTACTGACGGGAAACTCGCCCGGCGCGTCCGGAGAAAAGGGCAAGGGCCCTAGCGGCCTAACGGGCAGCGAATCCCACGCTGTCTGGACTCTAATCGGGCAGGGCGGAGGCGATGATCGATGCCCTGCCGAACCACGGGCGTACCTTGCCTCGCGGCCAGTTGCAGGCCTGGCCCTTCATGGCGCGGCAGTAGTCCGGCGAGGGCTGCGCGTGGTAGCCCCAGTTGTAGTTGGTGTTGGCCACGTAGCTGGCGAGCAGCGGGATGTCCGTGAAGATGGCCTCGTCGCCGCCCGCCTCCAGCAGCAGCACGCTCCAGGAGGGGTTCTCGGACAGCCGGTTGGCCAGCACGCAGCCCGCCGTGCCGCCGCCCACCACCACGAAGTCGTACTCCTTGAGCAGCGCGGCGTCGGGCACGTCGCGCACGCGCGCGTCCCGCAGCGACGTCAGCGGGTTGTTGCGGGACAGGCGCTCCGCCATCTCGGCCAGCGAGAGGCGCGGCGCGGCCGGCCTGGTGGACTGCGGCGAGGACGGGCACGCCGCCAGCAGCACCGCCAGCACCAGGGGGAGCTTCATCGCGGCGCCGGCGGGTCAGCGAGGGTCAGCGAGTCGGGGAACCTGGCGCGGACAGAAAATGAAAAGAGTAGAAGTCTACACTTCATGTGGGATTATAAGCCACTGAACAGTTATTTTTCCTCCATTTGAACAGGCAACCTGAATGTCTCAGTTGTGTCATCGGAAAACTGTCACTCTCAAAAAAGCATGACGGAAACACCTGCCGAACCTCAGCGACCGGTCGGGATCTCGTGACCGACAGGACCGAAACAAGAAACAAGATCTGCGAGTCGGTCAGTGTGGCGGACTGGCGGACGTGCCGCAGCGGCCGTCGCGCCGGCCACGCCTGCTGCCTGCGGGAGGTGGTCTTGTAGGCGGCGGGCGGGCGGTCAGGGCAGGGAGGCTCCAAGGCCAATGTCATGGCGTCGATGATGAGGCCCGGGCCGCCACCGCGCCACTCGCATTGTGCAAAAGTTGTGCCCCTCCGTGCCGCCGGCAGCCTGGCAGCCTCTGGCTCCGGTCCCGCCGAGGGCAAGGTCACGGCGCGCGTGCCACGCCGTGCCGTGCCGTGCCGTGCCGCGGGCTGCGGCGAATTTCCACCTCTTTTTCCGGTGCTTTGTCCGATTGTTTAGAAAGGGACCGGAACGGACCGGAACGAGGAAGCGCGTAATTTGTTCCGAGTCTCTGAGTCGCAGACAGTGTAGCCGGCAGACCCGGCGAGGCTTGGCCTGGCCCGGGCCCGGCTTGGCCGTGCTGCGGTCTCGCGGCCCCGCCCGCCTGTCCGCTGACCGCGTAGAGTTTGGGGAACGGCAACGCCGGCCAACGCAGTGCCGTTCCATGTTTATAGACTCCACCAGCAACTTCCCGCTGCTTCCCGCCGGCTGGGATTCCTGGGATAGCCTGGCACAGCCTGGCATAGCCGTGCAGCGCGCTGCGCCCCGCCGAGGAATGCACTGCGGGGCACTGCGGGCCACTCCGGGGCACTGCCGAATCGAACGCGCCGCTATTGATTGGCCTGCATTCTGCATGCACCGCCGAACACTGCAGAGTTTAACGTGCACTCAGGGCCTGCACTGCAAGCGAGCAGGCAGTACGCAGTGGGGCTTCAAGAGTCCGCGAGGCCCACTAGTTGGGACTTGTAGGCCGAGAGCAGAGGGCCTACTCCGTCAGAACGGCGAGGCGTGGGGTTTCCCATTCACAACTTGGTCGCGGTCCTCACAGTGGTGAGGATGCGGGCCGAAATGATACGGCGTGGTGCAATCGTCTGATTCCGAGCGCGGGCCCCAAGAGAATGGTCTCTCTCTGTCGCACTCGTGGGGATGGGGCCGCGTATGGCGCGTGATTGCGCGTAATCTCATTGCCAGGAGCCAGACGGCAGTGTGGTTGTCTGTGAGTCGTCGCGGTGGTTCGCGGCGCCAAGGGGCTCCGCAGTGCTTGTCGGTGGATGCTTGTCGCTGCGGCGCTCTGTGGTTACCTGGGATCGGCGGCGTCACTCCGCTGGCTGGCGCGCTGGCGGCGCACTGCGCACTGCGTGGCCGCGGCCGCTGCACTCCTCGCCGACGGGGGTCTTGTTGCTGCTGGTGCACTCGGGGACGCGGGGCGGGTCACTCCGCATTCACATCACAGCGGCGGCGCGTCGCGGCGCGTCGCGGCGAATGGCCAATTTGCAGTGGGCGCGCCTCCGGCTAGCCTCCGCGGCATACCAGTGTGCTGGTGAGCCGGTGGCACCGACCGACGAATTGGCACGGCGCTCGCGGTCTTGATGTCGCCGGCGCTCGGTTCGCGGACTCGTCGCGGCCGCCCTGCGCTTGCCAAAGCGGTGGCCACACGCGCAGCCTGGCACGGCACTGCAGGGCCTCGAAGACGACACGGGCGCTGCTCCCGCGGAAAATTCGAAGTGCCACTTTGCGGGCACGACGCACGGGCGTGACAAAGTGCAGGCGTGCGTGCTTGCGCTCCGTGCGACTGGAGCACAACACTGGGACTGTGGCGGCAGGCACGCGCACGCCGTGCAGGCGTTCGAACAGGGCGGGGCGGGGCGGGGCCGGCCCGGGCCGGCGGCCGGAGGAGGGATGTGGTTCGCAGAGGAGGACCTTAGCCAGCAGCGCCGAGTCGTGATGGCCAAGGTGAGCTACCCGCAGGGACGGGGCGGGGCGGGGCGGGCGACGCGCCAGCGCGCCAACGCGGTCAGAGCGCGCTCACAACAATAACAGATCCAGTGCACCGTTCGACCTGGCGAGCCTCTGGAGACACTGAGACTGGCTGGAGTGGCAACCTCGGTCTCCACATTCGTGGTGGCTCTAGGACACGGACCCACGCGCGCGGCGCCGGGCACCGGCACTCCTTTGACAGACCATTCAGAGCGGCAGCGAGACTTCGGAAACGAGAGACCTGAGACCCGTGGCCTAGAGAGCCTCGAATCGATACAGGTACAGAGGCAGGCGTCGGCTGCACACGGAGTGACGGAGGAGGGGCGTCGGCATCTAGCCGGAAATAGGCCAATTCCATGCAGGATTGGCTTCCCCATGCGCCGCCATGGCCAGCACGGCGCATGGGATGGCCACCGCGCGGTCAGCCTCGAGCAGCGCGATGACGCGCGCATGTGAGAGTGGTGGGTCCTCGGTCTCCTCGGATCCACGGATTCCTTGTTATCCTGCGCATTATTCGAGGCATAATTTACGCAGTCTTTACTGGAGAGCCGTAGGAGCACACAATGAGATCGCGCTTACCAACTCACACGCATCAACACACACACACACACACACACACACACACACACACACACACACCTACATGGCATAATAACGGCGCGCGAGGTAAAGTGAACTCTCGGCGTGCCCGGGCCGAGCGTGCCGAGCCCATGGACAGCCATGAATAATGATCAAGAAACAAAACCACTCGCGAAGGCGGCGGCTGGGCTGGGCTCCTCTGAGGCTGCAGTGGCGGAGGAAGAGGAGCCAGTGGAGCCAGTGTACTAGTGCAGACGGGGCCGACAGGGAAAGCCAGGGGCCTGCGCGATAGGCAGCCCCGCTCACCTGCAAGCGCAGGCGAACACTCGCCTCTCTCTCGCACTCAAGGGGCGTCCTGAGTCGCTCTGTTCGGAAGTACTCTGCAGCCCGAGGTGCCGGCCGAGGTACGCGGAACTCGGCAAGGTCGTCGCCGACGGCAGTGGGCTAGCAGTGTGGACCCCTGGCCGAGATTTGATACTCCTCGACGGTCATTGCCTGGCGCGGCGCGGCACGGCACGGCACGGCGGTCTTCTCCTCGGCCAAGCCAGGCCATCACGCGCCGAGCCTTCGCATCGGTTTTGGTCCTGCACCGCTTGGTCAAGGTAAACACGTATGGATTTTTGCTTTTGCCTGCAGCCGGCGGCCCTCCTGACTCAGCACTCCCTCTGATGATTACCCGGGAAGGAGATCGTTTCGAGGAAAAGTGAGCGGAAATTTACCTCTCGGCGCAATTTTAATTTAAGTCAGCCACATTTTCGAACAAAAAAAAGTGGAAATGGATGGGACGTTGGTGCCGGCGACAGACGCAAAACCCGTTCTGCACTCGTGTTTATTTCTTTCAGGGCTCTGGGCCGCGCCGCTCCGGCCTCGCGTTCGATCCCAGGGCGCGGCGGCACCGCCAGCTCATCTGCATTTTATGTGATGCCGCCATCGCCGCCATCGCGCCTCGATAACGGCCACTCAAATAGTTGAACACAAAAAAGCAAACAAGAAGGAGAGTGCGGCGAAATAATAATCCGTCGTGTCGCGAGAACAAAAAGCGAGGCGGACAGAAAGAAGAATAATGGCCGAGGCCGCTCCATTCAAACGTGCATCCCGGCAGCGCGGCAGCGCGGCAGCCACTGGCCTCATCACCGGTTCATCTGTTCAAGTGCACGCCCCGCTCCGCCCCACCTGCCGCGCCTCCACGCCACGCCCCGCCACGCCCCGCCACGCCTGCCCGTCAGAGGCCGTTGTTCGGGGGACTTATGATTAATCAGCCATGGCGACGCGACATGGAACCGAGGCGCAGCCATCTTCTGCTCCTGTCCGTACTACATGTCCTGGAGCGGCGTGTACGTGTGATGGCAGTGAATGCAAGTTTGTGTGTGTGCGTGTGTGAGTGTGAGTGAGGGAAAGGGGGAAGGGGGCTATGGCAGCGTGATGATGCAACACCGGTTCAAGAAGGTCCTCTCCGAGGTGTCCCGTGGTGTCGTCGGCCCCCTGCCTGCCCCCTGCCTGCCTCCGCCGCCCTGCCGCCCCGCCGCTGATCGAGCGGCATTCTTTTTGGCGCGCAGAGCGGCGAGGAGCTGACGTGCAGCTGCAGCCTCCCGAACCCCCCACCTGTCGCGCTGGTCGCGCTGGTCCGAGGAACCAGCAGGAGCAGCGTCTGATGGTCAAAGGCAGCGGAACCTGACCGAGACCGGACGGCGGGGCGGGGCGGGGCGCGGCGGGGCGGGGCGGGGCGGGGCGGGGCGGGGCGGGGCGGGGCGGGGCGGGGCGGGGCGGGGCGGGGCGGCGTCTGGCGGGTCGCAGACCAAGGACGCTGGCCCCATGGCCCCATGGCCCCCTCGCCTCCGCGCGTCAAGTCCAGGCCGCCCCGCCCCGCCCCGCCCCGCAGTTCCCACGCCCCTCGAGCGCTGAGTGGACTCTGCTGGGTTTCGTGACTCCGCGGACGGATGGCGGATTCGTCCCCAAACTTGGCGCCGTGTCGCGGCGTCGCGGGCCGTGGACACCGCCACCACGACGACGCGATGAAGCAGCGACTCCAGTCTGGCACGGCCCGCTGGAATGTCGGCCTCACTGCACGCGGCCGAGTCCGCGAACGTCGTCTCTGTCTCTCTCGCACTCACAGGGCGTCCCTGGTGGGTGCGAGAGAGACGCGGCGAAAACACGTCCCAATTATGCAGGCGGCCCGATCACTGCGATCTGGGCGGGGCGGGGCCGCCCGGCTGCAGCGGAGTGCAGCGTAGCCTTGCGGTGCTGCACTGTAGGCCGAGCCGCCGGACCAAAGTAGGGGCAGCTTTACAGCTG